ACCTTGTTGACTATTAGTTTTCCTCACTTCTTTAACCCTAGTAAGATTAGATTATCACCTTCAGGTGTGGCAATTGGAAATAAAATGTTTTCTTTATCATATGCAGAACCATCACTGCTGCTAGTAGCAGTTGTTCTCCAAATAATATCTGTGTAGTATGTCTGCTGTAATGCCATAAATTGGAGAATTTGTTTTTCAGAGTTCTATCCAGAGATCATATCCAGTTCTAACCATTGTTGCTTACAGTGGACTGTGAATAGTTTTGCCATATTGCCAGATAATTTTGATCAAATATTTCTGGTTCAGGAATGTTTCTCCTCCATACATATCAAGCATGAGCCAAAAGTAAGTGGATGCTTTTTATTAGAGTGCTTCCCCAGAATTTGAAAATAATCCACATGGGTTAGGCAGCAGTGTCAGTTGAGAGAAGGCAATTAGTCTGCAGGGGTAAGGAGTTCTTTTGCTTCAGTTTGGAGATATATGTAGAAGGAAAATCATTGAGCAGGTAGAAATAATAGCTGGAAAATAATCACCAATTATATGCACCTAAAATTAGAATGAGAAATTTGTTTAGAACTACATTTACTTTAAGGTACACATCATAGCTGAGAATTTTTCATACGATAGTCAGTGTTTTCATACCATAGTCAGTGTTTTCAGACTTAAAAGTTACTGTATTCCAGCTTCATTTAAAAGAGCAATAGGACTAAAAAGAGAGTAATTCTTGAGGGAAAACTTGGAGGGACTAAATGAAGAATTAAGCTTTGTACCATAAGCAAAGTTACCATATTAAGCACTCCATTTAATCAAGTCTAGTGAGCACTACTTGCTCCATAGTGAAGATTAAAACTGAGATCCCACTATGAATTAAGAGACAAGAGCCTTGAATACAGAGATGAAAGCAGATCTTAAAAGGAACCACATAATCCTCATGAAATCTTAACAGTCCTCACAAAAACTCCTGGTTTTCCTTATCAAATCTGCAAATCCAGAGTTTCTTTTATTATACCTAATTTTAATGTCTTAGATAAAGACATTAAATGAGTACATAAGCAGTTATATGTAATGTTTCTAGGAGATCAAATCCAATTTTTGGATAATCATATCAAAGACATAATATTATGTAATCAGTTGTGTGAAATGGGATAGAAAATTGTTTATGTATCTTAAACACTAGCTTCTAAAACTTGTGTTTGCCTTATAGATTACCAGATTACTTAAAATATGATTAATTAAGAAAGGCGAATTACATCCTTATTGTAAAATGTCTTTACCTCGAGTTCTCTCAAATACCTTGCTTTCTTCCGCAAATAGGCAGATTAGCCACAAAGCTTATTTTTGCTATATGCAATCCAGACTCTTTACATTGGTTTTCGTTTTCTCAGCAGTCTTGCCTCTCAGTATGAGTTGCTTAATAGGAACAGATTTTCTGCTGGACAAATTAACTGTGATACTGCAATCATTTTCCTCCCATCTTGTGCATTGGTTATACAACAATTATGAACTGTATTTTGTTTCTTTTTCACCTAGAGAGCATAAATAGTATGGAAATTTAATGAAACAGAACATTTTGCTGATTACAATACAGTTGGTTTTGTTGTGTGGTCGTACTTTATAGTAATATATCAATTTTTATTGCTGGACCTATTTACTGAAAATTCAGAAGCTGGGTTATCACAACTTACAAACCATTAGTACAGAAGTTCATAATTATTGTGAGGTTTTTTAGCATCCATGGTTACAGCTTTATTGTCACATGTGGACAAATTTTGCTAAGAATTCAGTCTTTAATCAGCATTTTTGTAGGTGGATGTGGAAAACAAAAGACTTTTTGTGGGCGTAAACAGAAAAATCACATTTTTCTCAGAACAGCTGTATAATAGCTGCTTTTAAAAGCTAAATAGTAAACACAGAAGGAAAGGGTTTCGCACCATAGAATGTGAGGCAAAATATTTCTGGCTTCCATGTTGTGGGAGTTATTATAGAGCACAAAATGCTAAGTAAAATTGGCTGTATTGCTGGACAGCTGACACTTGAAGAAATGAGTTAGAAATCAGATTCCTTTTCAGAGCCATGCCAGTTGCCAGCCACTTAGGGCTTTGGATCTAACTGAGAAGCAAGGAGTACACACAAATGCTTTATGATCTACAGCTTGTCATATTTTGTAGAGATTTTTTTCGTAATAAGGCTTTTGTGTCATGTAAAAATCAGCTTTGTTTTTAAACCCAGAAATCATATACACCTTAAGGTTATTATATTATTTCTATGTATGTGTAATGTCTAACTCTAAGACAGAGCTGCTAGATGCAGGTAATATCTTTTATTGACCAGTTATAATAACTGAAAAACACTGACAAGCTTTTGAACACATATGCTTTATTTATATCTGAAAGAGAAAAAGCATATTTCAAGGGCAAAAAACAGCTGAGAAAAATTGCTCAGAGTAACAGAAATACCACATCTTTCAGAAAAGATAACTGGTAGATACAGTTGGGGGGGGGGGTGTTAGCAAAGAGATTACACTGTATGTGTTTTGAGCATAACAGCTGCAAATCCTGATTCAGGAATCTAACATGGATGTGTATATATCAAGGATATTTTTCCATGGAAATAGTTTGTAGTTTTGAAAGAGTTGTCAAAAATCCATGGAAGGAATGATTTCTTACATAAACAAAAGGACATCATCTGCTAAAGGTGTTTTTCCTTATGAAGCCACACCCCAAGTTTTATGAAAACCATGCATTACTAATTGTATCTCTGTCTTTCATATTTAAACCTTTCCCCAGACACAAGTAGATGTTGCAGATTTTGGTTTTGATTTTCTGAAATGAGAGGATTCAGTGACAAAAAGTGCAATCTGATAATCTTATAAACAACAAATTAAAATATAAAAAGGACATCTTATTGGCTTATGGACAGAAAAAATTGCTGCATTTGATCCTGCTTTTTTTGTCAATATTTTATGTCTGCTTAGCCACTTCTTACCTGATAGAGGTTTCTTGCTGTAATGAACTACTCAGACTTAGGCTTGTCACAGGAATTTTGTAGTTGTAGTCTTCTGTTCTTAGTGACTTTGAGGTCAGACTTTTTTTGCATTTCGCAAGTATTGTCTGTGTAATGCTGATTGCCCTCAAGAAATACAAAATCTATCAGTTAATGAATTTAAATGTCTTCTGATTCTTGTTTTGGAAAGATTTTCGTACATGGTTGCTCAGTATAGATATTTTCAAACTTTCTAAAGAATTGACCCTGGAATATTAAACTTAAACAGGGGAGTTCAGGTTAGGTACATGGAAGAAGTTCTTTACTGTGAAGGTGATGAAGCACTAGAACAGGCTGCCCAAAGAAGTGCTAAATGCTCCATCCTTGTCAGGTGTTCAAGGCCGGGTTGGACAGAGCCTTGAGCAACATGGTCTAGGATGAGGCATCCCTACCCATAGCAGGGGGCTTGAAACTAGATGATCTTAAGGTCCTGTCCAACCCTAACCATTCTATGATTCTATATGATTCTATATTGACCCTAAAGGCATCTTGTGAACCAAAAGCCAATGATGAAAATTTACAGAGAAGCCATCATATGAGGTGCTGTGAAAATAGGAAATTTAGCTTTCATTTGTTCCTTCTTCTGTATGGTTCATTGCAGGGACTTGATTTCACTTACATAAGTGTATAGGTGTTAAGTAATTGTTCTTTTTAGTCTCCTATAAGAGTTTAACAGTCGATGTATGTGAGACTATGTAAGTATGTAAATGGCTTTATGTCTGCCAATAGTGGGATGCTCACAGCCTATGTGAAGGACTTACTTTCAAGTATCTGTTCCAGTTAATTTTCATTTATCATGGATGCATCAGTTTCAACATGAAAGATTGAAGCAGTCAAGTCAGTAGTTAAGGCGTGCAAGGCAAGGATTCAGATCTGCTCAAAGCCAAGCAGGGAGGAAAATGAATCCTGGTTGCAAAGAGAGAATATATATCTTCTGGTTACTAACTATGGGATTTGCCAGTGAAGTGTAAACCCCGAAGCTTGTTAGGTGTGAAGGAGGAGGCTTCTCCCCTGTTCCAAAACATAATCTCACTGGAAAATAGGATGGCAGCTAAGCAGTGTTTTAAAGGTGGAAATGGATGCCTAAAGAGATGGCTTGGTCTCAAACCATGTGCCTAAGTGCCACATTTATGCATCTTTCAGATACCTCCAGGGATGATGGCTCAACCTCTTTCCTGAGCAGCCTGTTCCAATGCTTGGCAATGATTTTGATGAAATTTTTTTTTCTAATATCCAATCTAAAGCTACCCTGGTACAACTTGAGGCCATTTCCTCTTACCCTGTCACTTTTTACTTGGGGGAAATGACTGACAACCACTGCAACCTCCTTTCAGGTAGTTGTAGAGAGCAATAATGTCTCTCTCCTTGGCAATGCTATGTCAACAGTTGGACTCAATCATCTTAAAGGTCGTTTCCAACCTAAAATATTCTATGATTCTATTATCTCCAAATTATTTTGAGGCTAATATTCTGTTCAGAGAAAGTGCTTTGCTGTTGATCCACTTTGCTGTATTTGACAGGCTGAAAGCAAACTTCTGGTTCTCTCTTGCTATCCTGACTGTGTGTAACATCAGGGTACTGGTGAGTGGAAGAAGGAAAGGGGAGCAAAACTAGCAGTTTGCAAAATCGTTTTCAAAATCTATAACTTGGGAAGGTTAACACACTTTGTATTGTAGGATTGGAGGGAGATTCCTATTAGAAAGAGGTACCTAAGTTTTCCACCTTTTTTCACAGTAGAGACTCATGTAATTTCTTTAGAATTTTGCTCCTGAAATTAATAGGAAATAAAATTAGGTCAGTATTCTAGAAAGCTGGGAATTCTGTAAAAATATTTATATTTGTGCCATGCTGGATATCTGTTGGTTAAAGGATTCGTTCTCTTATTTGTTGTTGGCTTGATTATATCGTATCATTATTGAGAAATTGCATTTATTTTCTTATTTATTTTGTATTTTCAGGTAGAGATAGAAACCCTGGACTATAATTCCTATCTGCCTATTTTTTTTCATGGCCTTTGTGAAATGACATTTCCACATGAGTTTTTTGCTCGTCAAGGAATTCATGACATGCTGGAACATGGCGGAAACAAGATTCTGCCTGTCATTCCTCAGCTCATTATTCCAATAAAAAGTAAGTAAATATGTGCAATAAAAAAAAATTTATAAAATTGCATTTCTATAGTGTAGATTTTGATAAGTCGCTAATTAAGCAATGTAACATGACAGACTGTACATTTCATGGAGATTATTGCAAATGTGAGTAAATTGTAAGGTGTAAGGACAGAGGCTTATGTTTTCAATCACCTGGTACATACAGTAATCCAGAATAGACTGTCTGGTTAATATTTTTTTATTATAAATGTGGGTCTTGGTCTTTGTAAATGTGAAGTGTCTTTTTCTTCCCTGATTTTGTATATTATATAAAACCATTACTGCATAAACCAGTTCATCTAAAATGACGGAGGAATGAACAGATGAAACTTACAGAATTATGTTCCTTTCTGTCCTTTTTATTTATTGTACAGTTGTCAGATATCTATTTACTAGATATCTTTTCTATCATCATTCTTATTGCTTTGCATATACATATATCTATCTAAATTGGAAATTCTGCCTGACTAATGTTGTATGTAGAATTTTGGCATTTAAAAGTATTAATTTTAAATATTCAGACATAATTCTTTGTAGAAAAAATATGTGAAAGGTACTAAATCCTTTTAATACAAGTGTAACACCACTAAAGCTCCAAGTTTAAAAATCCCCTAGTCTTATTTTTTTGAAACACCTCATATTTCAGACATATTGTTTTGTCCTTTCCTGTTTCTTTAGATCAGTGTCCTGAGGAGATATGATTCTGAACCATCACCCTTTATTAGTTAGGTATTATTCTTAAGTCTGCATGCTACACCTGTACTGCTAGATGCTCATATTTTTTAAGCTTGGCTTCTGTTTTAGCATTGCTCAGTATCATTGGCATCATTGCTGTCCTTCCTATTTTTATGAGGTGATTCAGCATCCATGCTAATACAGAATAAAATGGAGTCATTGTATTTGTGACACAGAAAGGAGTCAAATACAGTTTTGGAAAAGGGTAAAGGGAATGTCATTTAAGGATGATAATACTGAAATAATAATGTTGGAAGGGTCAGAATTGTGTTTTGTTCACTCAATTTATTCCCATTTTAAAAGATTAATTATAGAATTCATTATCTGTAGATTTTGAAAATGTCAGAGGGAATATATAATATTCAGAATGGTTACTCTGAAAGTGACACTTGTGAAAGGTTTACGAAAACTATCTTACAGATTTTTTCTCTGAAAAGGGAACACATAGAGAAATCATGTATTTTCTCTAAATATGTTTTTCCAGCACAATCCAAATATATTTATAGTAGTACCATTTTTTCTTTTTTTGAAAGCTGAAATAATTTCTTTGGAAAAGACATCAAGTTTATGACAGCAGCTACACAGCTAGGATTTAAAAGTCTTGCTGAGACCAGAATCTAGCTCAGAAATAATTATCTGGAAGCTTTAGCTGTTACACAACATTTAGCATTAGAAAGAGACTGCTAGGTAAGGATATTTGTATGGGTTTGATATATAGACTCTTAAATTAAGTCATAATTTATTATTCTGGAACACATTCAAGATTCTGCTAGCTCAATATAGTTGTTGGTTCTTCTGTATCGACTTTAATGTGTGAAGAGTTGAAGTATTCTCAGTGATAAAGGCTTCTTCCTAATCAAAGACATATTAATATTAAAAAGACGCTGCCATCTCAAGGAATCTGAAAGTGTACTTCAAGAGTTTCTAAATTTACTATGACTGTGTAGTATAGGAGTCAGAGCTATACATTTCTGTGACTCAGCTGCATCCACAATAAACTCAGCTATGTTTTACGCATATTACTGTCTCTAAAGTCTGCCATGGGGTGAGTTATATCTGCTTAACCCGTCTTCTTCTGGACAAATACCATATTTCTATTGTGAAAAAGTGAATCAAGTAATGGTTAGGCAAGATAATATATACAATAGAAGGGAAAGGGATAAAAGAAAGACAGAGAAATAGCTTTTTAAAGCATCTTTGTCTCCTGCATGTTCATCAAAGGAAAATATTGGTAAAAAGCTGTTCTCAAAAAACATTTTAAATTACATATTAGAATTCTGTACTATATTTTAATGATTTAAGAAATTATCCTCCACCTGTTCTTGCTTAATATTCACACTTCTTGAACACTATATCAGAAAGATGAAAAATATTTATATATTATTATCTTCTTTCTTATAATAATATTATTTAATGAATCTGGGTTTCAGATTCATTTTCACTGTAAGCCCAAACCAAAATATTTTCAGAGTGACATTACTTTTAAACTCAGATCATTTCAGTGATCTAATTTATACCTGCAGTGTTGCAGATGAAGGAAGAGATGACGAAAAGGAACATCTTCATAGATTTTCTAGTGAAGAAAATAATGTGAAATTAAATCCTTAAGTATCCTGGATCACTCAGTTTCCAGAATCCTTTCTGTTCTGTACTGTGAATCCTAAAACAGACACATAGGCAATCTGAACTTAGGTCTAGGAGCCAATAAATCTTACATCTTTACACTTAAATTGTAACTTAGACGGAAATACTGTTTCTACACAGTTGCAGTCAGCAGACTGGCACTTCTGATTGAGTCCAAAAAGAGTGATTTCCATCCTTAGAAACACCGAAGTTTTCCTTTTTCAGGCTTTTTCCATGCTATTAAAAATTCTGTGACACAGTACATCAAGGACTTTCAATAAGGGAAGCAGATTTTTTGTGATTCAGGTACAGAGAAATACTCCCTCGGTGTCACCATTTTTTTGATGTTTAATAAATTCATAAACTCATTTATTTTTTCCTATTTCCCACGTTCTATTTGCATGTAAAATGTGGACTGTTGTCTTGGACAGCAGTGTAGTTAATTTCCATTTAAAGTCAAATCAGTGTCAGTGTTGCATTTAGACATGTAAAGTTGAACCTGTCGCTAGCAGTTGTTCTGAGCACATTTATATTTGTTTCTTCATCTATCTTCACTGTATTTGAGATTTTAATAGTCATTATATTCTTCCTTGAATACTGAAATATTTTTCTTGAATAAATATTTTTTTCTGGTCTATAGTCTTTTTCTTTCTGCAAGTCATGTAAATTAATTTCTGTCATCTAAAGAAAGTAAATTAAACCTTTAATGGAATTATTATCTTCCTCCCCACTAACTGTTGCTCTTGAGAACCAGTTCTGGTTATTAAGTTCACAGGCTGAAAATTGAATCTAAACAAACTTCTTTGTATAGACCTACAATGCTTTAAATAAAGCAAAGATCTCTGGTTAAAAAAACAGAAAAAATTGTCTTGATTCCTAAATACCAAAACATTTCCCTTGTAGACTCCATCAACCAGCACAAGTGATTGCAATTAGAAAGTCTATGCTAGATTCTTCCACTCAAACCTGATCATTTCAGGTAGTTCCAAATGGTTTAGAAACTAGATACTTTTTCACTCCTGTCTATGAGGAGAAACTGTTTCTCATTCAGTAGAAATAGATCTCATACATGTTTGGAAAGTGAAATCTGCAGTTAACATCTCTCACTTTTGCAGTTGGAGATCAAGCTACTGTCTACTGAATTTATTAATTTATTGGGTTTTAACATTTAGTACTGAATGTCATCTGCCATTTTATCACCCAGTTATTCTGTATGATAAAATCCTTCTGCAGTTTTTCAAAGTCAGCAGTTTGGCATCTGGAATAACTTTGTACTATCAGAAAACTTTGTTATCATTAGTAAACATCTCTTCCAAATCATCTCTGAATATGTACTGAAACACATGTGCTTCAACACAGATTCCTGCAAGGCTCTACTAGCCTAGGAGATACTCCTGCTCTGTGGCCATTTATTGTTGCCCTCATTTCCTATCTCTAAGAAGTCATTTATTTATATGGAATCCATGGCAATAAAAATGTTTCAAAAGCCTTCAGTGAGGGACCCTAACAAATAAGTTTTGGAAGTGTAAGAAAACCATATTATCAGAGGCTTTTCTTGTCCACATTCTTCTTCTTCAAGGACCTACAGTACATTTACAGCACTATTTTTGCAGTACAGATGCCAATATTACCAGTTTCTGTTTTCTCAGATCTTTCCTGAAATCTTTAAAAAATGAAGTCACATTTCATTAATAAGAAATCTTTTTAGTTGAGAGAGTGGAGTGGATACTCAGTGCATTTTAGTAGCTTGAGGCAGCAGAGGGGAAAGGAGGTACGTCTAGGTCCGGACTGAAGCTCTGTAAACTGGCATAGCCACTGAGGTTTGGGGGACTTTATTCTCCTTGTATTCTTTATGCTAGTTATTCTTTATATTAATTATTGCTTTAAACTAGTAATAATTAACTAATTAACTAGTTAATAATAATTCTGTGGAGTAGTTAGGGCTTGCAAATATTAATAGAATTCAAGTTTTACAGATGCCGATCTAGTAAAATACTACAGTTACAAGCACAATTAAAGCTGAAAAAAAGCAACTGACTCTCATATTCTGCTAGACCACGTTCCTTGCAAGTATCAATTATCCGCTTACGGATTTTAGACTTTTCTGTGTCTTGGGCTCTGGCTTCACAGGACAAAGTCTTTGATGACAAAATTGGCCTACGGTTTTCATGCTTTGCCCCCTATTCCTTTTTCCCATCACCTCACTGTATAACATCACTCATTCAGTTATACTGGAAGTAGTATCTGTACATTTATATTGTGAATTGGATCAGGACCTTACCTGACTAAAAAATTACACAAACACAAGGTTGTTATTCTGGTTTTTACTCACACTTGATTGAAACACTTTGTTTGTAACAGCCTTCATTAATGTTCTGTAAAATTAACGTAAAACTTCTATTATATCAGTTCAGGTACTTATTTTTAAGTTTTGAACAAAGTTCTCTGTAAGAGAGGTACATATCACTTTAATCAATTGCATTTTGAGAACACTTCATGTTAGCAGTTCTTTAACCTGACCCTCTGAATTTAAAAAAGAAGCCCTTGATCAACAAGATTAAGTAGATCACAACAATTGAAGCATCTTTTCCCTGACTGCTTGTTGTCCTGCAGGAGACCTGCTCTATGTATCTTGTTCTGCTTTAGGCAAAGAATTTTCTAAAACAGGTACCTTATTTACAAATTGGCAGGAGAGAGATATCAAAGCAAACTAAGCTGGTTTTAATCCTTGGTTGTGAGATCTAAGGAAAAAAAGGAAACTGTCAGTGCGTTTCTAAACAGATTCACAGGTGTACTTGGAAAAGGGGTTGAATATAATTGAAGGCCAGTGCAAATTAAAGACGATTAAAATATCATCATAATTTTAAATATAACTACCAAAATCTAAACTTTAATTTTTAGAGAATATATGGAAGTTTGGGGAATCTGATTTGTTTAGACTGTCACTGTGCTATCTGGGGAAGAACATTCTGATTCAGCCTCTTCTGTGAAAATATACTATCTCATGGAAAAGATCAGCTGTATACTGGGAGAAATTCTGTCATGTTTCCTGGCTTTTAAAATGTATCAATTCCACATTTCATTATATACTTGCACTAAGCAGCTAGCTAAGCTAGAGGGTCTCCTGGAAAACTGTTTATCCTAATCACAAGCAAAATTCTCAAGCTTATGTACCATTAAAGGAGAAAACATCAGAACTGCCACACACCGAAAGGGAAATATATACCAGTGAGGGAGGGAAGTCCTCTAAAAACCCTTTAGGGAGTAGAAAGGTATCTTTAACTGAGAAGCAAACTAGTCATTCACTTTGCTATTATTGTGAAGATCCATGTCTTATAGCAAACTTCTAGGTCAGGAGGCAACAGCCTACCATGCTTTCAAAGTGGAATACTTTGGATATTATGAATGTTTCCTTCTTCAGGGATATGTAGCTGTACTGTGCCAAGAGTTTTCAATGGTCTGCTTTATTCCTGTGTGAGGATGCTAGTACTTTCTTGCATTTTTATTAACCTCTGGATATCACTGACATTTTTCAAAATGTCGATATGTACTTATTTCATATGCTGCATTAAAATTTTCTTCCTTTGATTCATGTGGGAGAATGGTCTCCAGTGATGGTAGTACACAAAAAATAATTACCGGATTTTTAAAAGATAAACATATGTTTGAAATTGATGTATCCTTGGGGCAGGGACTGTCTCTAATTAAGTGTTTATGAAGTGCCTAATATAATCAAGCCAGGAGCTTTTTGACTGCTATGCATGCCACAGTCCAAATATTTAATAATAATAACAACACTTCTGCAGTCAATTTGATATTACTTTTGATATTTGCAAGTGTTTTCCAAACACACACTGAAAATTTCTGCAATTTGAAGGGCTTCAGGCTCAAATTCTTTAGTCTGTTTTATTCTACCCTATCCATCTGCATCAAGATCTGTCCAGGCCAAAGGGTCTGACCTACGTTTATGCCAGTATCAGACAGTAGCAGTAAGGACATCTGTGGGAGGTGTACCCAGGCAGAGGAACTCCACTTAGCGACAGAGCTCTGGGAAGCAGTGGGAGAGAGTGAGAGAGGCAGACAGGATGTCTGATACGGGGAATTCCCCATCTTTTCTCCAGCTGGCTGAACACAGTGACTTAAGGGATAAGCAAAAACGGCAAGTTCCTGCCTGGCACAGTAGGCCTGTTTCCTCTGTGAGTACCCCACCTTCACAGCTGCCTTTCACAATAGAATCATAGATCATAGAATAGTTAGGGTTGGAAAGGACCTTAAGATCATCTAGTTCCAACCCCCCCTGCCGTGGGCAGGGACACCTCACACTAAACCGTGTCACCCAAGGATCTGTTCAACCTGGACTTGTTCCAACAGTTCCATGTCCTTTTTATGTTGAGGACACCAGAACTGTACACAGTAGGTGTGAGGATCTGCAAGAGGAACTGAACAATAAAGAGGATGATGGTTTGTCTAGCTCGGAGGTGTTGCTGAGGTTGTCAGCCTACATCCTCTGTCAAAGCTGCTTCTATTTAGAAAAAGAAGATTGGTCATTGTCACAGAGACTCCCTTCTGCAGGGAACAGAAAGCCCAATACGCAGATTGGACCCACTTCTTAGAGTAGTCTGCTGTTTCCCTGGGACCTGAGTTAAAGATGTGAAGAGAAAGCATCTTAACATGGTACAGCCCTCAGATTATTATCCATTATTGATTTTTCAGGTAGGCAGCGATGAAGTTGCAACAGGATGTCCAAGGCCAATTATGAGAGACTTCAGTGCCTTGGGACAACTGGTTAACAGATCAGGAGCACAAGTAGTGTTCTACTCTATCCCTCCAGTTGCAGGAAACGATAAGGGAAGAAACAGAAAGAGCCAGCATAACAATACCTGGCTCCAAGCCTGATGTCACCAGCAGAATTTTGGGGTTTTTGATTATGGGTCAGTTTACATAACATTCAGGCCTGCTGACACCAGATGGGGTACACCTGTCTCAAAGGGGAAAAAGGATCTTTGCACAGGAGTTAGCAGGGCTCCTTAAAAGAGCTTTAAACTAGATTTGAAGGGGAAAAGGAATAAAACCAGGTTCTCTAGAGATAAACCTGGGGATAGCACTCCAGTGTTTTAGGGACAGTGTGCTAGCAAGATCCTTCAGTCTGCCATTGCAGTGGAGGTAGGAGATCCGTGTGGCAGCAAAGACACAAGGTTTGTGGTGTTAGAAACCATGGAAGTGCCTGAGAATGGACACATAAGCATGAGGGCTTATCAAGTCCTCCCCCACAAAGGTGGTGGGATCAGTAGCCAACTGAAGTAAATCTACACCACTGCATGCAGCATGTACAACAGCAGGAAGAGCTGGAAGCTGTTATGCAGCAGGAAACTGTGGTTTAGGATTAAGAAGCTGTGATTTCTGTCATATTGATTAATTTTGATGTCCCTTAAGTTAATTACTAGTATTTGTATGATTAATTAATTTTATTAATATTTTTAATTGTTAAAAAAATAATTATTTTATTTGTGTTTATATAAATTCATTCATACAAGTGAATACAAATATTCATGTTTGTATGAATAACAAATAATTATTGTACTGAAAATTACAAATGTTAAGGATAATTATTGGTTCAGTTAGCTGCTATTTCTGTGTATGACAGCTAAGTCATGAATAAACCTGTATGTTGGAAGCCCAGAGCTTTCTTTTCCGATCACTCTTTTAAAAAAATAAATATTGCCTGTTCCTCTATGTAAGAGAATATTTTCCTGCTTGAGATTTGGACTGAATATTTAAATTTTTATCTGAAGTTTTCTCTTTGCTAAAGTAGCCTTAGAACATCCACCCATGAGGAAAGCTGGAGAGGGATTTTTTACAAGGGTGTGTAGTGATAAGTCAAAGAGCAATGGCTTTAAATGGAAAGAGGGTAGACTTAGGTTAGATAGTAGGAAGAAATTCTTTACTGTGAGGGTGGTGTGACACTGGAGCAGGTTGCCCAGAGAAGCTGGATGTGGCTTCGAGCTGCCTGGTCTAGTGAAGGGTGTGCTTGCCCATAGCAGAAGGGACGGAACTAGATGTTTCAGGTCCCTTCCAACAGAGACCATTCTATGATTTTATGGATTTATGGTAGCATACCAAATTTGACAACAGATTCCAGCTGCATAATTTCAGGGGTCTTATAACTAGACAGTTTTTTCAAGAAAATAAACAAAACAGATTTCAAGCATGACTCATTTTTAATTACAAAAGAGAACGCAAGGTACTTTTTTTTAGTAAAATTAAAAGACAAACAAAAGGTATTTAGGAAATATCTTAGTATTGTAAGATTAGAAGCATGATGCTGAAAGCTAAGAGAAAAATCTAAAGTAGGCAAGACAAAATCCTTTTTTTTTTTCACCTAGGATGTTTGTCTTTTAAGGAAAGCTACAGGGGGGTTTTGTGGATTTTTTTTCCCTATTAACATTTGCTTCATTGTACGGATTCTCATAATAGAAGGCATTGTTAGTTGAATGAATAAAATGAGCATAAAATAAATGAGTACAAACATACAAACACTAATTGTTGCACTAGAATGTAGCTGTTGTCAACCTTCGCAGGTTGTCTTGCAGTTGTACAGTTCCATTGGCCCCAAATGGTACATACTGCACATTTATTTTTTATTTGTTTAGACCATGCCAGTATTACGCAGGCACCATGAGTGAATAATGAGCTGCATTCTTTGGGTTACTGAACAGTCATCACAAATTGTGGGAACAAATAACAATCAGACAAGGCAGTGTTTTATAACATCAGGACTGCAATCCATCTTTGGGATCTTTCAAAGCTGCACTAATAAAGAGCCACTTACATTCCCCAGCAGAGTACAGTTTAATTAAATTTGTCCATTAGAGGACTTCTCCCCCTCCCTCTACATTTTAGAAATTAATTCTGCTTTCTGCCTGTTGTTCTTTCTACATCACAGATGCACTGAACCTTCGTAACCGACAGATCATCTGCACCACACTGAAAGTCCTCCAGCACCTGGTGGCGTCAGCTGACATGGTGGGGAGGGCCTTGGTGCCCTATTATCGGCAAATCCTCCCAATCCTAAGCATCTTTAAGAATATGAATGGTGAGTTATTCTAACAGACACTGTGTCTCTCAACTCCTAAGGTAAAAAGGGGCTTGAGGCAGGGTTAATTAAGAATGTATTTAAGATTTATTACTGCATATAAACTCAAATCCATTTGGAGCTCTAAATAATGTAACTACCACCCCCTCCTCCATTATTCCCTAAGGATGCACTGAAATTAACAATTTCATTTATTACTCCTTGCACGTACAGTTTATTTAACACAGTACAGAAGCACTGAAGCAGTTCTATAATCTTCCAATAATTAAATTGTAAAGTTTTGTAACAGTCTTTTGAATACATTAATAAATTGCAAAGGTTTTTTCCTCCCTCCAACACATTAGTTCAGACCCGCCTTTTTATTCCATTCCATGCTCTTCACAAGAAAGTCACTGCTACCAGCAAGCTTAGGAAAGAATAAAAGTAAAAGTAACAAGCAGACTAATTAATTTGAGGGTCAAGAGAACTACTTGCAGAAAAATTTCAAGTTACATAATGTCTAACAAAATGCTGAAGTTTGAAGTTATTACTGAATACTTAGAAGGTTTTATAAAAGAGAAATTTGGAGCCGATTTGTGTCTACAGTGGAGTATGTTGTTTTCTTTGTAGCGCAAACCTCTATTGCCACTTTTGGTCTCTAATAACTGGTAGCTGTGTGTACTGTGACTACTGTATACTATGACTGCATTTATACCACAATCACCAGCTGAAATCAGTGTGATGTATCTCACTTTTTCCAAATTACTCTTTATTTTTCTGTAGTAAATCTGTCTGTACTTATCTGTTCAATTACCTACCAAGTTAGTGACTTTAAAGTTTCTATTATTGACATGCAACTATTTAGATCAAAAGAAGTTAATTCCTTACATTAAATTAGTGACATTTTAATAGCTATCTACAGGACTGTTTCCTCTTATACTTCTGTGTTCGTTACTGCATAATGCGTTATCTTATTCTTTGGTGAGTGTAAGGTTCACTTCAGATTGAAAAATGCTTGTCCAAAGATTGACATGGAGACAAATGAGATTTCGATTTTAGATCCCTTTATATACATATATATCTGTGACTCTGTTTTGCTTAGTGAGAAACTTGAAGCAACATATGGAATTCCATAAATGTGACATGGTTCAGATGACAAGTATGGCTTTTTAGAAGTTGTGGGTTGAAAGGTTATGAAGAAAACCTGTAGGTTGAATTTAAGTAATTTCAGTAGGGCTCTTTATGAATTAGAAGATTCCCCCTTAACAGATGCAAATTCAGTATCTGACACAAAACAAGACCATAAAAAGGACTCACTGATTAATGAATATACAATACATTGTTTTTCCAAATTTCAGTCTGAAGTAGCCCATAAATTCTCTTTGACTGGGCTTTTTTTGTAGTCATTTCAGATTAATAATAGAGAAGGCTCATGTGTAACCAGGTGCATAGCCTTACAAGGCATTAAACGCATTCTAAATATATCCCAAGTTTTGATTGTATTGTTAGCAAAATCAAACATATTTTTAACATATTTGAATGACATCTGTGCTATGTGAATTTGTGCTTATATCAAACTACACTAAATCTTGATATTTGGCATTTAGGAACTAAAAAACGCAAAACCAAATGAAAAGTAATAGTTCAAACTTAACACATTTTATTAAAGCATTACTTCTTTAGGAGTAAAGGTTTGGAAAATTCTGTATTATCAACAATGAAATGGATACTGTTTGTGAGGCCTACTGTATGAAATTGTTCAGTTAGTCAGTAGATGCATATGGGTGATAGGGAAAGAATCTTGCTCTTTCTCCTTCTGCCTCAAAAAGCTTGTATTTCTTTCATTCTTCAGTGGTGATTGCACAAAAAAAAGTATGCTCTTTTCCTTCTCCTTTTGATCTCCCATATGCTTAATTGTCAACTGAGGTGGAGTTCTTTGCTCCCAGTTACAAGGAAGGTGTAGAGACTGATCCAGGCTATTTTTTCCACTGCTTGTTCATACAGGGGAAAGATGAGGTGAGAGGAATGTGATCTCTTCTTCCTTCTATTATTTAGAGCTTGAGAAAGGAGGAAAAATGGTAGATCTTCCAGGAGTTGTGTGAACTTCAACTATTAAGTCTGACACTATGGAAGTTTGTCCAGAGTTAAGGTAGCTGTAAGGAGCCATGTTTTTTTTGTAGTGAGCCTCACTACATCAGTATCTATCTGCTGATAGGAACTCTTTCCCACATTCCCATCTGTGAATACTACTCTCACTCTAAACAAACCTCAGTAGTTAAGAGAACAATAAAAAAAAAAAAGGTGTAAATAAGATATTAAGGTCAAATTACCTGTGACCAAAACAAGCCAAAGTGATTCTTCATGCACTGTGATGTGAGGCTCTGGAACACCTAGCAACAAATTCTTTGTATACCAAAAGTTTACATGGGTTCAGTGGAGGCTCAAAAATGTCATAAAAAAGAATCTGTTTCTTGTTTAGTAAACCACATGATCACCTCTGGTTTATGACATTCCTAAACCACAACATGGTGGAAGCTGAGAAAGCTGAGAAAAACCTTAAATGCTTGTCCTGTATTCACATTTCCTAGTCATCTCCTTTTGAGAGACACGCTTTTGGATGAGACGGGCATTTGCTATCATTTAAAACATCTGTCTTTATGTTCTTCCTACAATGGTCCGTAAAAGACTTGCAGAAAACACTGAATTTCCATTGAGTTTAAAAATGTTCTGGAATACAGGTTCCTCAGAAATTTTCTTCATTCTACAAACCTCTGATTTAGCTGAAAAATGATTCACCTCACAATATTAGTCAGGGCTATAAATAAAACAGTAAAAAACTTGCATGGGTAAGATCTTAAGGTTAGGATATCAGAAACAGGTATTTAATAAAACAAATATAGAATGTAGCTTGCCATGTGTTTACGTCTAGTTGTTCTCCAGCCACCAAAGTTGGTAAATCATTGTTCAGAGTTACAGTGTTACCTGTGCTCAGAATATAACAATAGTTTGAGAAGTTCTCAATTCTGTCCCCCTTCAGTCTAAGCAATTTTTTTCCAAATTCCTATCTGTTCCTCAACACGGAGGCTACAGTTTCACTGTCAGCAACAGTGTTGTGTAAAACACATTGCCATTGCCTTCAAGGGGCATTCTGTGATAAAAGAGAACTACCCTTGATGACTCTCCCTGTAGGCAGCCATTTAGTGCAGCTGACTGTTATTCCCACTGCACATTTTTACTGGATTAGCCAAGGAGGTTCTAAAGTACGTAAAATACTCTTTTCTGGGATCTGATGTCTTTGGTGCTTAAAGATGGTATCTCCTTGCTCCGATTCAGCCTGCTGGCAAACTGCTTCTCAGCCAGCCTCAGGTGTTCCTTTATGCAGAGTTATTAATGCATTCTTTATACATGTACACAGAATATTGATTGTGCACATAAATACAGTTTCTCATATGTTCCTTTGCTTTTCCATTTTTCTTTTGACATTTCTACTTCTACTTCCATCTGTTACCTCCAAATCACCCTGTCATTATTTTGTAAAAATAGCCCTTTTTGTAAATTAGCAGGTTCTGATGCTGATGTCTTTTTCTATCTTATGTTGTGTCCCAAACGTGCTTGTCTCTAAAATTGGTATCTTCATGATGATTATGATGTATAATACCAGCAAAAATGTTAAAGCACTACTGGCCTTTTGGAACAGGAGATAATCTAGGTATTTAATTTTAAAATTTTTGTGCCCATATTATAAATCTTCATTAAAAGATTTTTGGCTAATACTTCACAAACTGTCTATAGACTTCTTCAGCATAACGCCTTTTAGTGAAGTACATTTTTCTTATAGTTTCATATATCAAAGAAGTAATTTTGATTTTGTTTTCCAAATTCTCTATAATTTTATGGCAGTCTGTGAGAACACATAGTATAAATGGAATTGCTGTTAATCAGCAAAGTGAGGTATGCTGAATATATCTTATTATTAGAGTTTGTGGGCCACAAAATAGGCATTATTCATGTAAGTGATTGCCAGGCATATGTTCTGTAATTTGGGTCTTTGGAATTACAGAAATGGAGAGGAAGGTCTGTTGGTTGGATACGGGGAAATTCTGACATTTTCTATCCATTCATATTTCTTATATGCAGATTACTATTGGTAATGTTTATAAAATTAAAAAAAAAAGTGCATTGATGAAAGATAAATTAAGAGCTTTAATTATTGAAAATATCTAAAACACACACCCATCTGCATTGTAAGATAAAGGTAAAAATAGATCAACACAACCTAAGTTACAAACGCCAGGGTTAAAATCCAGGCCTCCTAAAATTGTCTGAAAGCCAGAGGAGAGAGCTCAATGAACTTGTAAAGAGTCTTGGTAGTGAGCAAGGGTTTTTTTAGGTGCACAAAGCATATTTGGTGTATCTGAATTTATGCCCTCACTGGAATTTAAAAGCCTGACTTACAGTAGACATGTCTTTCCACTTGGGTTCCCGAGTGCTCTGATGCAGAGCATTAAGACGTAAAAGAGCAAAGTTGTGTTCTTGGTGATGCAACCACTAGTGTCTTTTTATTACTGGAGACAGTGAGAGCATCCTCACCAATTTGTGCTCTGAAAAAAGGGTTGAAGCTTTCTGTTAAAACTGTTAGCCAGAGTTGTAAGGCTGCCAGGAGAGCAAGGAAAGGGAACACAAATTCATCACAGTGATTAGGGAATATTTAATAGGAGGAGCTGTTTGTCTCATCTCTGCAGACTGAGAGGGGACTAGCAATCTCTAAGCAAGCTCCCCAACATATAGACTACTATGGAAATGTGCTATGATATAAGAAACAAAAAAAGTCATGATAATGCTTACTAAGTCTATTATGAACCCTGTAATCCCACTGTAAATGGCACATTTAAATGTGTAAGCTAAATGTACTTATGAAATGCATTTCAATCTTGTGAAGAGGGAAGAAAAATATGTATAGACTCAAATGTAAATATTCTTTGCATCATAAAACCATTTCGTGTGTCTTATTTTTATAAGCT